ACACACACACACACACACACACACACTTTCCTTGACGGGAAGAGAAGTGGTGGTGGTGTGGTGGTGGGAGCGGGCTAGTTGAGGCGGTCGTAGAAGTGCGGGTTCTCTGCCGACGTGGGGGCGCGCATGTGTGTGCCCTCGAGCGAGTTGTATGTCTGCTCGCTCCTGTTGAGCTCCTTGTAGATGCCGCCCGCCGTGCTGTGGAACGTCGTCTGCTGCGTGCTGTGGTCCAGGCTGCTGTACACCTGCTCCGGTCCGCCCTCGTGCTGCAGGTGCGAGTACACGGGCTGCCCACCGCCCCGCTGCTGCTGCTGTTGCTGGTGGCGGCGAGCCGGCGCGGTTGTCCGCGTGGTCTGGTCCAGGCTGTCGTATGTCGTGTCCTGTGCGCTGTAGTTGGCACGCGCGTACTCGGCGTGGTTGGCGCCGTCTGTGTCAAAGTAGTCGTCGGGCTGCTGCCTGGCCGGGTCCGGCTGCACATACTGCGGCTGCTGCTGCAGGTCTGTTGGCTGCGCGTAGTCTGGGGCGGGGTGCATCCCTGGCTGCTCATACCCGGACGATGCTGAGGACGGCGTTGCCGGCAGTGGGCGCGGCAGTGACGATCCGCTCGTCGACTTCTGCACAGCAAACGAGGGAGAGAGGAGGGGAGAAGAGAGTAACGTGGGTCAACGCGTGCATGGCGGAATGTGTGTCTGTGTGTGTGTGTGTGTGTGTCTGTCTGTGTGTGTCTGTGTGTGTGTGTGTGTCTGTCTGTCTGTCTGTCTGTGTGTGTGTCTGTCTGTCTGTCTGTCTGTCTGTCTGTGGTGTGTGTGTGTTGCAAGCAGAAGCTGCGTAAAATCACTGTGCACCGCCACAAGTCAAAGGTACGTCTTCCTTGTCCCCATATGCCCTCTCCCTCTCACACCTGCATGTCGCGGGTGGACTTGACGCGGGTCACGTGCCGCTTCAAGGCGGCGTGGATGTCCGAGCCATCCTGCAGCGCCAGCACCAGCACCACCAACACACATCAGACAACACGCGCAAGCATGCACAGCACAGCACAGCACAGCGCCGTAATGAGTAAGGCAGCAAAAAGCGAGCAAAAGAGTACACTGAAAGCACAACGTCACATCACATCACAGCGCAGCACGCAACGCACCACGACAGTGTATCGGAACAGCTTCTCTGGCTCCGAGGCCGCCCGCCCCGTCTTGAACGAGAACACCCCGTCTTGCTGCGCGCGCATACGTATGCGTGTGCGTGTGTTGTGTTGGGGGTGAAATCAAGCGACGCACACACACACACACACACATACACACACATACAATTGTCATTGCCATGATCAAGCGACCACATGTGCGAGAGGAAGGAAGGCGCGCATGGCGCGCAAGCACGCACGTACACGCATGCGCGCACACACACACACAGAGCAGCTGAGTGCACCTGTCCGTATGATCGCAAATGCTTCAGACTGAACGATTTGATGGCAGACGAAGCCCTGAGAAGAAAGCGCACCACAAGTACGAATCAGTGTGTGGCTGAAAATTGGAAAGCAGATGTTTCATGCAAGCGAGATTATATCTGACAGACGAGGGTCACTATCGTTCACTACATTCACACACATTCACACACACACACACACACACACAAGCAGACACACACACACACACAAGCAGACACACACACACACACGCATACACAACTACACACACACACAACTACACACACTCTCTCCCTCCCATACTTACTTTGGTTGGAAGTGAATCGTGTCGTTGGCCACCACCAAGAAGCCTTCCAGGTTGTAGTCGCTCTCCCGCACGCGAAACACCAACGCCCCTACATCATGTCACAGCATACCACCACAAACACCAACACAGGCACAGCCCATGCACAGTTGAGCGCTGAAGAGCAAATGACTTTGACACGCCACAGCAACATGTTCCTGGTCGCGTGGCTTGATCTCTGCCCGATCTTCAACACAAACAACACAAACAACACAAACAACACAAACAACACAAACAACACACACATTCACACAAGCAACACAAACAACCAAACACACACACACATTCACATACAACAAGCACGCACCCAAACACACCTTTTTGAGAGGCTGGCCCCGTCTTGGGCAGCTTGCCGCCAGCGCCCTTCTTCGATCCCCCTTGTCCCATGATGATTATGTTGATGGCAATAACGACGATAATGTTGCTGTTGATGGCGATGACGATGACGATGACGATGACGATGACGATGACGATGACGATGACGATGACGATGACGATGACGATGACGATGCTGAAGGAGCAATCGCAGCAACAACAACAACAACAAAGCACGGCATCAACAACCACAAAACGTCAGTCATTTTCCACATGCACGAACACCGTAGCAAACACGCGCATAGCGAGAGCGCCTGTGTTGTTCTTCTTTGTTGTGCTTGTCCCTGTGCTTGTGTGGTTGTGCGGCTGTCTACACCAACTTGCTCACACAGAACAACACACCACCACTGACCACGACCGCTCACAACACAACACCTCCTCACCCTCACACCACACGCCACACCCACACACACAAAACACACTCGCTCGCAGGACCACAACACCCCTCAACCCACATCGCACTGTGCAAATTGCACTGCCCGCAATTGGCAACACATCTGCCTTTCAAGCGACACCACGAATGCAGCGTTTCCTGACTTCAGGGATCACGCGCCACACAAAATTATCCCCAGCCGTTGCTTTCTTGCCAAAAACCACAAAAGAGAACCACCGCACACCCAACGGGCCGCCTGACACGCAACAGCAGCCAGGCAGCAGCAAGCGTTGGAACGCATCGTGGTGGATATCACACGCACACAAACCCCAAGCAAGCAAGCAAGAGGCAAACTGTGCATTGAGGGTGACTATCCACAACAAACCACCAAGAAGCAAGCAAGCGGAAGCAAGCAAGCAAGGGACGCACGCATCACAGGAAGGACCACCCACCCTGGTTTGCGTTGTTGTTGTGACTGTGACACACAAACGAAATTATGGCGGACACCACCATCCCCAGCACAACCGGCACTGCAACCACAACATCCACTCACCCTCACCAGCACGACCACCAACACCAGCCACCCGCCAAGCTCCCAGCAGTCCCTGCAGACACCAACAGCGATAACGGCAACAGCGACACCGGCAACGATAACAACAGCAACAACAGCCACAACGATGGCGGCGACAGCCACAATCCCCACAGCGACGGCAGCATGAGCGCAGGCATGGCCACATCATCATCACCACCACCCGCGTCAGCACCCTCCGACATGCACGACAGCCACAACAACAGCAGCACCCATCAAACACCACAGCCGCCACCCCCAGCAACATCCTCAACACCTGCACCGGCTGCAGCAGACCCACCGCCGCCACCAGCGCCACCAATGCTCCCACAAATGCACCAACACCAACACCAACAGCACCAACAACAACAAGATGAGCACCAACAGCAGGCTGCGCCTGGGTTCATGGCGCCCGTGTCCCTGCCGGTGCCATACATGCCAGCCAACCACGACGATGGCCAAGCCATGCTGCAGCTCCCCGCCCAGCAACACCAGCAGCACCACCACATGCCCCAACACTCGCACCCTCAAGAGCTCCAGTATGGCAGCCACCACCAACAAGTCGATGTGACGAGCCAAGAGGACGCCTCGCGCCCAGCGCACCTCGATTCCCAGCACCACCAACACCAACACCACCAACACCACCACCACCACCAGCAGCAGCAACTCCACCATCATCACCATCACCACCACTTGCATGTGCACCAGCACCTGCCATCACCACACCAGCACCAGCACCAGCACCATGACATGCTTCCACCGCCGCCGCCCATGTCCATGGCCCCACTGCCACCGCAATCTGGCGACGGCATCATCTCTGTCACCAGCTCGCATCCACACGCGCACCTCGGCCACCATGTGCCACCACCACACGAACAGCAGCCGCACGTGTCCAGCGCGCCACCGCAGTTTGCTGCACCGCACCCCACGCCCTACGCCCCACACTCCTCCGCTGGCGCAACCATGCACCACCCTGCGCCGCCCGTGTCGATGGTGAGCACGCCGTCGTCGTCATCGTCGTCGTCATCAGCCATCCAGCTTCCCACCAGCGCGGCGCTTCCGCTCGTCCCATCGTCTTCTGTGGCCGCCAGCGTCAGTGTGCCCGTGTCAACGGCAGCATCCTCAGCGGCAGCGCCCCTCGTGGCCACATCGTCTGCGGCCGCCACCGCGCCCACAGCGTCCCGCGCACTCGTGCCAACGTCTCTCATCGACGTCACCTCGACTGCGCATCCCCAACACCACCAACAGCAGCACCACCAGCATCACCAACAGCAACACTCGCCAGCAGTATCAGGCTCTATTGCTGCTGGTGCTGTGGCACCCAAGGATGCAGAAGCGGCGCAACGCCACCGCCACCACCACCAACAGCAGCACCAGCACGAGCTGCACATGGACCACCAGCAGCAGCAGCAACAGCAACAGCAGCAACTGCCACACTTGCAGCAACAACACCACCAGCACCAGCAGGAAGGGCAGGAGCACGCGGTCATGTTTGGGTTCGAGGCAGCGACAGAGGCAGCAGTGCCATCATCATCGTCATCATCATCATCATCCAGAGCAGCAGCGGGCGCGGGAGCAGCAAGGATGGGGCACGCGCCGGCGCCACCACCATCAGGCAGCGATGAGGGCGATGGCGTGGACCAGTTCAACAAGCCGTTTGTGTGCGGGTTCCACGGGTGCAACAAGCGCTTTCGGCTGCAGTACCTGCTCAAGGTGCACAAGCGGACGCACACGGACGAGCGGCCATACCCGTGCACGGTGCCCGGGTGCACGAAGCGGTTCAAGACGTCGAGCCACCTCACGTCGCACCTGCGCACGCACAGCGGGGAGAAGCCGTATGTGTGCGAGTTCCACGGGTGCGGCAAGTCGTTCTCGCAGAGCGGCAGCCTGAAGATCCACCAGCGGACGCACACGGGGGAGCGGCCGTTCCAGTGCCGGCACGACGGGTGCTTCAAGCGGTTTGCCACCAAAGGGCAGCTGACACTGCACCTTCGGCAGCACGAGCCGGAGCTCAAGGGGGACGACGCGCCGTCGGAGGCGTCGGTGATTGTGGCGCAGGTGCAGCCCACGCCGAGCGACGACGGCCGCACCTTCGCCTGCAACTTCCCAAACTGCACCGCCCGCTTCAGGACGCGCTCGCACCTGCGCGACCACGTGCGCACGCACACGGGGGAGAAGCCGTTTGCGTGTGTGTTTCCCGGGTGCAACGCGCGGTTTGCTGCGGCGAGCAACCTGTACAAGCACCGCAAGATCCACACGCGGGCGGGGGAGAAGAAGTTTGTGTGCGACCAGCCCGGGTGCGGGCTTGAGTTTATGCACAAGAGCAGCCTCACGCGGCACCAGCGGGTGCACACGGGGGCGATGTTCCGGTGCGACGTGGAGGGCTGCAACAAGACGTTTCAGCAGCGCACGCAGCTGCACACGCACAAGATCAACGTGCACTCTGAGGAACCGGGCCAGACGGAGCAGCGCACGTACGCGTCCAAGCAGTATGTGTGCGAGGTGTGCAACCGCAGCTTCATGTCGTCGTCGCACCTGACCACGCACATGCGGCGGCACACGGGGGAGCGGCCGTTTGCATGCCCGGAGCCCGGCTGCGACAAGTCGTTCCCGACCAAGTCCAACCTCACGGCGCACTTGCAGACGCACGTGTCGTACGAGGACCGCAAGTACTGCTGCGACTTTCCGACTGCGGCAAGCGCTTCACCACGAACGTTGCGCTGAAGGACCACAAGCGGCAGGTGCACACGGGGGAGCGGCCGTTCCTGTGCCCGCACGAGAGCTGCGGCAAGCGGTACGCGTCCAAGACGACGCTGCGCTCGCACATCAACGGCGCCCACGCGAACCAGCGCAAGTACGTGTGCCCCTACGAGGACTGCGGCAAGAGCTACATTGCGCGCAGCGGGCTGACGGCGCACCTGCTGACGCACACGGGGGACCGGCCGTTTGTGTGCGACGCGCCAAACTGCGGGCGGCGCTTCAACATGGCGTGCCTGCTCAAGGTGCACAGGCGCACGCACACGGGGGAGCGCCCGTACGTGTGCGCGCACCCGGGGTGCGGCAAGCGCTTTGCGCAGAGCGGGTCGCTGACCAAGCACATGCGGCTGCACACGGGGGAGCGGCCGTATGTGTGTGCGGTTGACGGGTGTGGGCGGCGGTTCATTGAGTCGGGGCACCTGCGCAAGCACGAGCGCACGGTGCACGGCAAGTCGCGGCAGGAGCAGCAGGCAGACAGCATGCACCGGCACACCTTTGCCGGCAGCGCGGCAGCTGTGCAGCACTCGCCACAACCACTGGATGCACAGGGGCAACAGCAACAACAGCAACAGCAGCCGCGGCGGCGCAGGCAGCAGCACCATCACCAGCAGCAACCGGAACAACAGCAGCAGCAGCAGCAGTTACCGCAGCAGCAGCACATGCATCATGTGCAAGATGGGGGTGTGCAGCAGCAGCAGCAGCAACAGCCCGTACCGCCGACGATCAGTGCGCACTCCACACAGCAGCGGCAGCATGTGGATCACGGCATTCAAGGTCAAGCAGAGCAGCAACAACAACAACAACAAGAGCAGCAACAGCACGAACAACAACAGCAGCAGCAGCAGCAGCAGCAGCAGGTACCCATGCCGGGACCACAGCAGCTGCATCCGTCGCTGCAAGCGCTCAACGTGCCCCACACGCTACCGCATCCACATCCACCTGCCACCCTCGACGCACACCACCAGCATCACCCTGCACACCACCCGCACCATGCACACCATGCACACCACGCGCACGGGTTTGTTGCGGATGTGCTGCCGCCACACATGCAGCACGAGCGCGATGTGCACCAGCCGCTGCCCCACCCACACCCACACCCGCACCCGCACCCACACCAGGAGCAGCAGTTTCCCCTGCCCATGTACTCTGAGGCGCCGTCGTTCCACCCGCCTGGCTTCCCGCCACAGGCGCACCACCCGCACCACCATCCACACCACCACCACCACCACCACCACCACGCCCACATGCACGCGGGACACGAGCAGGAGCAGGAGGACGTGCAGCAGGTGCGCCAGCCGCCGGTGCACCCGGACTTTGCGCAGAGCAGCCCGCCGCCGCCGCCACCAATGCCGCCACGGCAGCAAGGGGGCGGTGAAGGAGGAGGAGGCGGTGGTGGTGAGGCAGAGCAGCAGCAGGAAGAAGGTGGTGGCAGACATGATGAGCAGCAGCCGCCGACGTCGCTGCCGCAAGAGATTCAGCTGCCGCAGTTGCATGTGCAGCAGCAGCAGCAACAGGGAGGAGAGCATGAACAGGGCAGCAGTAATTGACATGGAGTGGTGGAGTGAGAACTGGGTTGAAGCGGACAAGGAAGCACACATATGATGGCACGGTAGAAGGGTGTAGGGCTGTGTCATGGCAATGTAACAACAAAGATATTCGCATAGTTTGTTTTCTCTTTTTGTGTGTAATCGGACAAACATAGCTGGCCTCGTGTACATTGTTTACTACCTTAGCTGTTGTGGTCATTGCGCATTTCATTGTTCACTGGCATTAAATTACACATTTACATTACATCAGATATCACAACTCACAAAAGTCGCTTATCTCTTTGGTTAAGTACCATCCATACACGATGTGATCATGCACATCAAGTCAAACACATTGGAGCGGTAAGGCATTCAGATTGCGTGTGTACAAGTGTGATGATGGTGGTGGTGGTGCCAACACTTCATGTTGCTGCCCATTGTTTTGCGAGCTAGTGGCTGGGTTGAAGGAAGCCAAGGATGGTGCGCTGACCAGCCAGAACAGGTGTACTCGCTTTCTTGTGCCGGCGGCGGCGCAGCTGCTTCTGCTGCTGTTTCTTGTTGCGCGTCTGCTGTTGTGGCTGCTTGGTTGGCCGCTGTGTGCTGTGCGAGCCAGCGCCCTGCTGCTTCCGCGGGTGTGGAAGTGGTGACGGTGATGATGGCCGTGTTGTGGACAGTGGGGGCTGCGTGGCCTCAGGCGTTGACGATGTGGGAGACGGCTGGTGCGCCTGCTGCCGCGATTGGCGCTGTCGCTGGGTTCTGCCTGCCGTGTCTTTGTTGCGGCGGTCTTGCTTGCGACCAGGGCACACAGCACGCGCTTTGAGTGGCGCATCCCACCTGCATGGTGTGTGAATGTATCGTGTGTGAATACAAAAGTGAGTGTGTTCAAGTGTACGTGTGTGTGGATGCAAAAGTGAGTGTGAGTGCAGAGACAGAAACAGAGAGTGCATGCATGGACACTGGCCCCACAAGTATGTGCGCTGTCGCACAAGTGACATCATCCTGAACAGTAAATGCATCATGACACAACCCAAGCCCTCCCCCCCCCCACAAGGCACACTCACGCACCGTACAACATCTCCGCGTGCAGCAGGGACTTGAATCGGCAGCAGTGGCGCCCTCTTCTTGGGTCTCTTCGTGCGGTTGTGATCTGGCGAGTGCGGTGGCGCCGGTGCAATTGCACGGGCGTTTTCATCTTCCTCGCGCTCCTGCAACAAGGTGTATGGGTGGGGCAGGTGCTGGAAGAGGGAAGGGCTGCTGCACTCATATTCGGGCGACCACTCCTCAAAGTCCAGTTGCTGCTCGCCAACGTCTGCACTCTTCATGCTGACGCTGTTCACATACGCCAAGAGCGGCAGCTTCCATGAGCTTGGCTGCACCGGTGCTGCTGTCCACTGCCCCGATGGTTGCGCTTCCAGGTCGTGTTGGACCGCCTATTCAACCGCGTGTACACACAAGCAAGCAAGCAAGTGAGTGAGTGAGTGAGCATATATGTGTATATGTGTGTGAGTGAGTGCTTTGTGTGCGCGTACGTCTGCATATAATATATATATATATATATATATATATATATATATATATATATATATATATATATATATATATATATATTCATTCAAGGCAAAGATCGTGACGCGAGCGAATGCAATCGTGTTATTGTGATGCACACACAAGCACACAAGCACACAAGCACACAAGCACACAAGCACACACACACACACACGCACGCACCTTTGCGAAGCGCACTGCCATCTCAACAGATTCCGTGTCGACTTGGCTCTGTCTTGATCTCAACACCTTGCCCACCGCAGCAAGCACCTTCCGGGCCGCGGCTGCTGGCGGTATGTAGTCACGCGTGTGCATTTTGAGTGGCACCGCCTCCATGAACGTGTCGTGCAGAGTGTCCTGCATGTGTGTGTGTGTGTGTGTGTGTGTGTGTGTGCGTGTGTGTGTGTGTGTGTGTGTGTGTGTGTGTGTGTGTGTGTGTGTGTGTGTGTGTGTGTGTGTGTGTGTGTGTGTGTGTGTGTGTGTGTGCACGCGATTGCAAAATTGAGTGTCATCGGTCGTTGCTGTCTGTACACAAGCGGGTCTGTGAGCAAAAGTGAAAGACGTGAGGAAGCATGCACAGCAGTCGGCCATTTGGCCATTTGGCATTGACGTTATCACGACCCTCGACTCACCATGGTGGAGACAAACCCGCGTAGGCTGACAAACAAAGGCTTCAGTGGGTGGTCATTGCCTGGCGCATAGCTGCCACCGCCTGCACGCAAGAAGGGCCCACGATGGCACGACAAGTCAGTGACTGAAGGGAGAGTGCGCGAGAGAGAGAGAGAGAGAGAGCAAGCCATGCATGCATGCATGCTTGCAACAACAACACCAGCTGTTGTTCAAGCATACATAGATGTCCCCTTCAACAACCAACCAACCGAGTGTGCGTTGGCGGACATATGAGAGAAGGGCTGGGTAAGGCGACACAGCGGTGCGATCCGAGAGGAGTGTGGCCATCTGGCCAGGTGACAGCTTCCGATTTGGCACAGCCAATGCACGGAACATGGCCACACAATCAACCGTGTTTCCTGTCCAATCGCATTGAGCCCTTGTGAGATGGAAGGACAACGGAACACGCTCATGTGGATGTGTATGTGTGTGTGTGCGTGTGCGTGTGTTGGTGTGGGTGTGTGTTGGGAATGCACGCATATCTAATGTAACACAGCACTTGTCTCGGTACCGAGCAAACGAAGATATGCCAGCAGCGTGTCCAGCGCAAACAGCTCAAATGGCGACCCAAGTGGTTGGGCAGGACGTGTGAGGGCAGTTGTGTGCTCGGTGGGGAGCCGAAACGCACACTCGCTGCTCGTCACAGCTGTTTGTGCCAACAACGCAAGACTCAATCGCTGGTGCTGTCGCTGAGCCGTCTCTGGCTCTTGTCGCTGTTGCTGCTGTCGCTGTTGCGAGTGCTGATGCTTCTGGCTGTGAAGCTGTGCGAACGGTGCTGCAGGTGATGGTGAGGGTTGGTTGTGTTGTGATTGAAAGGATCCTGACAGCAGCTCGAACAACTCCGGGTCATCGATGTCGATGTGTGCGTCGTGTTCATCGGGACCCTCGCGACCTCCGCTGCCAGTTCCGTTGCTGTCCACATTTTTGCTGCTGTTGCCGTTGCTGCTGCTGCTGCTGCTGCTGGTGCTGCTGTGTGGAGCACACCTGTCATTGGTTGCTGTCAGCTGTGCCGGCATGGGTGGCAGATGGTGCTGAAGCAGCACGAAAGGGCACACGTGCCAGCAGGCGCAGGCTGCAGCAGGTGTGGGCCCCTTTGGCATGTGCTCTTGTGCATCGCAGCCAGCTTGCCCACCAGCAGTGAACAAAGAGTGCTCGTGAGCAGGCAGTCCAACAGCCAGCGCGCACGGTGCGCTCTCCACACCATCCTGCGCACTTCTGCTCGGCGTGCAACTGTGGAAGAAGACAAGCAGCAAGAGCACACGCCACAGCAAAGGCAGCTGCTCGGGTACACCTGCCAACAGCCATAGCTGCTGGGACGCCTGCATGCTGCTGCCGCCGCTGGTGCTGCCGCTGTTGTCCGCTGTGACCATGTGTACCAGGCGATGGGTCACGTCTGTGATGTCGATGGTGCCGGTGCTCGCCTTGCACACTGTATATGCCGTCCAGAGCTGTTGCTGTGCGCGAGACAACGGTGCATCAATCGCCGTGCTGGTGTCGAGCTCTGCTTGCAGTCGCCGCAGCACACGTGCCCTGGCGCATTCTTCAGATCGCTTGCAACTCACGCACGGCGATGCGTGCTCCTCGCTCGTCAACGATGACAGTGAGCGCAAGGACTGCACAGCTTTGACCAGTGCTTGCTGCTCGTGCACCTTTAGTGTGTGCGTCAGCTGTGCGTGGAACTCGGCTTTGGTTGGTGCAACCGTATGCAGTGCTGACAGATCCCTGCAACATGCAGCACAGCCGTGAGCGTTCATTGTGTGTGTGTGTGTGTGTGTGTGTGTGCGTGTGTGTGTGTGTGTGTGTGTGTGTGTGTGTGTGTGTGTGTGTGTGTGTGTGTGTGTGTGTGTGTGTGTGTGTGTGTGTGTGTGTGTGTGTGTGTGCACGCGATTGCAAAATTGAGTGTCATCGGTCGTTGCTGTCTGTACACAAGCGGGTCTGTGAGCAAAAGTGAAAGACGTGAGGAAGCATGCACAGCAGTCGGCCATTTGGCCATTTGGCATTGACGTTATCACGACCCTCGACTCACCATGGTGGAGACAAACCCGCGTAGGCTGACAAACAAAGGCTTCAGTGGGTGGTCATTGCCTGGCGCATAGCTGCCACCGCCTGCACGCAAGAAGGGCCCACGATGGCACGACAAGTCAGTGACTGAAGGGAGAGTGCGCGAGAGAGAGAGAGAGAGAGAGCAAGCCATGCATGCATGCATGCTTGCAACAACAACACCAGCTGTTGTTCAAGCATACATAGATGTCCCCTTCAACAACCAACCAACCGAGTGTGCGTTGGCGGACATATGAGAGAAGGGCT